TAAGGATTAAAATCTAGAGCTATTAAAAAAACGTGTGTATGTACTTATGTACGTAAGAAGTTATACTTCTATTTTTATAATATAGGGTGACAAGAGAGCATACAGTCCACCTTTTTTTTACATGGAGAAATGCCTACGCATACCCGCTTCATGGGGGCAAGGACGGGTTATGTCGGACGCGCACCGATTAAAACCCCATGGTGTTCCAGTTTCGCCGCATATTGGCAGGGCCACGGGAACGCTTTCGCACACATCCGCGGCCCCACCAGCGCCAACCGCCTCATGGCAGCTTCTTCTCGGGGGTGTACCTCTCCTCCTCATTCTCCTTCTCAGGCAAGGTGTCCAGTCATTGGTGTACAGTATTACAACAATAACTGTACAACTATTCTATTCAATTCTGTTCTGTCTGTTCTGTTCTGTTCTGTCCTAATCTGTTCTGTTCTGTACTGTTCTCTTCTGTTCTGTTATGATCTGATCCATTCTGTTCTGTTCTATTCTATTCAATTCAATTATATTCTATTCTATTCTACTCTATTCTACCCTATTCTATTCTATTCTATTCTATCCTATGCTATCCTATCCTATCCTATCCTACCCTATGCTATCCTATGCTATCCTCTCGTATCCTATCCTATCCCATACTATTTTATCCTATCCTATCCTATCATGTGATATACTATCCTATCCTATCCTGACCTATTCTATTCTATTCTACTCTATTCTACTCATTATACTCTATTCTACTCTATCCTATTCTATTGTATTCTATTCATGTGTGTGTGTGTGTGTGTGTGTGTGTGTGTGTGTGTGTGTGTGTGTGTGTGTGTGTGTGTGTGTGTGTGTGTGTGTGTGTGTGTGTGCGTGTGCGTGTGCGTGTGTGTAACACCGTAACTACATGCTATTTCATTACTAAGACGTCCATCTATTCTTACTTTTTTCTCTTCCGTTAGTCGAATAGTTTTTAAACCACTTATACGTGATACCTGTAATGCCAATTCTCTCCCGACGTGTTAACAGTATGAGAACAGACACAGTGTCAAAGGCTTTTTGTAAGTCCACAAATATTTCTGGATACTATTAATACTTTACTCCAATCAAGATGGGAAGTTATTAAGGAGGTTAAATTTAACACAGCACCATCTGTCGATTTGCCAGCTCTAAATCCATATTGGTTCTTAGATAAAAAGTTTATACTCTCTAAATATTATTTTAAACTTGTAAGTAGTCTGCTTTTAATCTCTCAATCAATTTAGTATACCAATTTCTTTAGCTTATGTTGTATTTTTTAGATTTTCTTCATTATGCATTCTATCTCTTTTACGTAGACATGCAATAATTCTAACGGTTATACATGGATTTAGTAGTTTGAATTTTCTAGAACAGTGGAAAGAATCGAGTTATGGAGAGTAGTATTGATAAAGATATTAGTAGCCAAATCCACGTTACTGATTTCGTACAAATTTTCATAATTATATTTTAGTTTGTTGTAGCTTTAGTTGTGGCGTAATTGCATCATAACGTAATGGACGGTGGCGCTGCACTTGTTGTGTTTTAATATTATTTTCATTATTTATATACAACAAAATAGGCAGAATTTTTATTAATCTGTTCGTAAATGACAGTTTTCTAAGTGAGCTGCGTTTAACCCTTGAAATGATTAAGAATTATTTAGGAAGTGTAACAAATCGGTTTTTATTAATAACAATACCTTGAATAAGCCCATAAGTAGCCGTAATATTTAAATAGTGCTGAGTTTTAAGCTGAGTTCTAAACCTTAGACCAATGGTACCTATAAACATATATTTATATCCCCTGGTTCTATTCCCTATTGGTTCTACTCTTATTGAGTGTCAGTCTCGTACCGGTTGACAAACTGTAGGGCATTTGATTTGCAATTAACAATCCAATTGGTGCAGGTCAGGATCGTTACAGGTTGTTCGCGTACTGTAAAATTTAATAAAGGCGCTTAGTACCTACGCTACGACAGCAGGTGTGCGGTGTGACGTCTTTTATACAGTTTCTTTATTTTAAAATCGTATAATAGCTTATCCCTGGTATAGTTAATCGTTTATACAGCAAGGTTTGGTTGAATTCACCCTTAACCGTGACAACACGGAGCAATTAACAACTTACAATATATAATGCAATACTACATATAACAGCGCGTGTGCGCTAGTCACTAGTGCTTGTGTCCACCACACATCGTCCCGCAGGTATCGTAAAACTTTACTAAGATAAATGAGGTGAACACCGTTTGTCCTCCGCTAGATAAAAATATTACAAACGGATTTATGTCAGTTGTAAACAACTTAAAGCGAGGCGTCGTGTGCAACATTAAATTTAAACATTTTAAACAGGGCGACGTCTTAAAATTGATAAGAAAAAAAGGTATATAGTATTATACTTTTTTTTTATCAATTCATCAACATGTAATAGCTGCAGCTATATTATGGTTGTAGCACAAATAAGTCGGTTCGACCGGGGAAGGACCACACTTTCAGAGAATACCAGCGTAAAATAACAGCTTAATGCTGCTGTGTTTCGTATAATGAATCTTTACTATAAAATCCCTTGATTAAAGACCCTTTTACTATAAAAATTCTAGAGAATTCCATCTTAGTTCTCAGGGGTGATAATGCATCTTTATCAAGAATAACTGTAGGTGTTTATGGGCCACAGCATTCACATACCAACAGGTAAACTGTGTGTTCATCTGTCGCCCTTATTCTTTAAAGAAAACAACATTTATCGTATTATAGGGCACGTTGCAGTTGATTAAAATTGTTGTGAATTGTTGGAAACCGAGGGTTTATCTGTGCGATACAGGATCAGGTTATTAAGACCAGCAACTATCGGAAATACATCCTAAAGGATGGTGCCGTCGACATCTGTCGAGCTTGTCGCCATCCCGGTGAGTCACTTAGGCATGTCATCTCCGGTTGTTCGGCGCTTTCTAACTCTGAATATTTGCACAGGCAAAACTTAGTAGCCAGGATTTTACACCAGGAGCTCGCTCTGAAATACGGTCTCGTGGATCGGAAACTGCCGTATTATAAGTACTTGCCGGAAGCCGTGCTCGAAAATGACCGCGCCAGGCTCTACTGGGACCGGGCCAACATCACAGACTGGACTATTCTTGCGAATAAGCCTGATATTGTGCTGATGGACCGGGCACAGTCAAGTATATTTTTGATCGACATTACCATTCCTTATGACGAGAACCTCGTGAAAGCCGCAACAGATAAGCTGACAAAATATCTGGACCTGGCTCACGAGGTGACCGACATGTGGGGGTGGTCTGCCGACCGAAATTATTTCTGTGGTCGTTTCTGCGAACGGGTTAATCCCAGTCAGCCTCTCGGGTCATCTGAGGCAACTGGGACTCCGTGACGAACCGCTCCAAGCCCAAATGCAGAAGGCGGTGCTCCTCGATACCGCCCGCATCGTCCGCCGGTTTCTTTCCCTTTCTCTAACACTCGGCCGTCTCCCCTGCCGAGTGCTTCCATCTGTTGGTTTTTATTTATTTATATATTTTTATGTATTTATTTAATTTTATTGATATTTATGTATGTTCATCATTTTTATTTACAATTATATATTTATACAGCCCAAACAGATGAGAGAAATATATGGATACCCCACATAATAATAACCTAAACGACCCGGTGAGTCACTTAGGCATGTCATCTCCGATTGTTCAGCTCTTTCTAACTCTGAATACTTGCACAGTCACAATCTAGTAGCCAGGATTCTACACCAGGAGCCCCCGTTGAAATACGTTCTGGTGGATCGGAAACTGCCTGTACTTGCTGGAAGCTCGTAAATAACGGCGCCAGGCTCTACTGGGACCGGGCCATTATCACAGACAGGACTATTTTTGCGTATAAGACTGATATTATGCTAATGGACCGTCCACAGTCAATGATATTTTTGGTCGACATTACCATTCCATAAGACTAGAACCTCGTGAAAGCTGAAGCAGAAATAAAACAAAATATCTGTACCTGGCCCACGAGGTGACAGACATGAGGGGTGACCACCGAAATTATTCCTGTAGTCGTAACCCAACCAGATGAGAATACTTTATAATTACCCCAAAAATAATAATAATATTGTCTTCCAGACCGAATTTCGGTCACGGCGGCCAGCCTCAACAGAGACAAGCCATCGGTGGACAGGATTATAGTGTCCAAATGTATGCACGAACACAGGTGCACTCTCTAATCCCTCGCTTTCATAGTCCGATAGGATGGTAACCCGATACAACCCGAGAGAGATTAGGCGAAGGACCAACAGCTTTAGGTGTCTTCCGAGGCGCGGGGTGAGACACCGCCAACTTTATGACTCCGGGGAGCTACTGAGAATTTCCTGATGGAAAAACTCAATGGTTGATTTTTTTTATTTGCCTGACTCGGGATTCAAACCCGGGACCAATAGACCCACGAGGTAGTCAGGAGATTATTCCAGGAGACTTTTTGTGTTATCTTGTATCAGGGATGCATTCGCTTACGTAATCGAAAAGAGCCTATCCCCGATCTTCTGGGAACATCCCCAATGCGCTACAAAAAGGAAGTATCCCCAACAGTGCCCTTAAACTGTACTCTTAGGGCGCTGTATGCCTTGTGTAGTTGGGCCATATTTTATATTTGTTTCAGTTTCTAATAATAATAATCATCATCATCACCCTTCACAAGTCCACAGCTGAACATAGGCCTCCCCCAAGGGATGCCATCAAGCACGGTCCTGAGCCACCTGCATCCATCGACTTCCCACATGTTTCTTATAATAACGTCTACAAATCTGTTTACCAATTAACTATTTCTTTCTCTTTCTTATGGGAAATAATAAAACTACAAAAAATATATCATATACTCAAATATTTATCAATTGTTAACATTTCTAGCATTACAAAGAACTTGCTGCAACTAGACTTAATCTCAGCACAGCTTACATAACCAACGCTTGAAACCAACCTTAGAACTATAGATATAAAGTCCAATTTACAACTCTGTATGGCTCGAAGGAAACTTTTTCAAGACAGCATGATACAGATTATAAAATGCGTACACCGAGACACTAAGAATCACAAACAGGGAGCCGCCGAAAACGAAGCTCAGGAAGTTCCCGTCAATCATTGTCGTCCCTTGGAGACTCCTAGCATGACCTTGGAATAGGTCCTTCGTGCCGGATCCTGTGGATTTTCGTTCCTCCATCATTTTCTTCATCGATGTCAGCCTTTCTTTGAGTTCATCTATCGATTCTAGCATATCCTCTGACTCTGAAATAAAATAATTGATATATTATTATATAAATAGCGTTCGACTTCTACAAAGTCTTAATAAATTTTATTTTATTTCTCAAGGGATACAAGAGGTTCCCTTTAAGAAGCAGTACCATAATAATTTCTTATATTTTATTCAAAGCAGTACCTTTACACTCTAAAAGTTCACTGTTAATAAACATGCAATAGATTACCTCATAGGCGGGGGGGGGGGGGGGTTATTTGCCAAAGCTGCCACGCTTGGCAGGCGGATTGGCAGCCTGAGTTTTTTTTATTTTTGGTTGTTATAAGGAACTGGCTACTACCGGTGTCCTGGTTTGTTTCCCTATGTCGCTTCTTACGACGTTTTTATATTAGAGATCCGTCTAAAAGTTCTGTCTCTAGCTCTACATAGTGTTACTTGTGGAATTATACATTTTTTATTCTTTTTTTTAAAAATGTTACCCCCACACTAGGATTTTCTCCTGTATCGTGGAGGCATTTTACAAACATACATTTAACGAGGACAAACATCTAGACCCGGAACAATTATTTGTAGGCCATACAAATTCTTGTTCCGTGTGGGATCCGAACCCGCGCTCTCCAGCGCAACAACTCATTGCTAAGCTATTGCGCCATGGAGCCGTCATTTGTACGCCCAGCTGGTAGCTCAGATGGTTAGTTCTCGCTGTGAGTTTCACAGTACGTGAGCAACCCAGGTTTGATCTCCGCTGACACCAACGAAAATGTAATCGCAATTTTAAGTACTCATTTACCACGTGATCGGTGGTGAAGGAGAACATCGTGAGGAAACCTGCATGTCTTAGAAATAAGAAAAAAAATTTCACAGACATTTGAGGTTCGCCTATAGGTATTGGATCAGCGCGGCGGACATTTCCTTGCCTTAAAACCCTCTCAGAAATGAGAGAAGGCTCGTGCCCAGCATTGGAACGTATATACATTAACTTCAACTGATATTAGTTGTAATTAATCTTCCCACGATATTTTTTTTGTATGTGTGAGTTTCTGGATGGTTTACATTCACTAAAACATTCAAGAACCCACTGAAACACACTACACACATTGGACCTTATATGTGTTGCTGTTGTAGAGATCCATAAATCACCCAAAGTATATTATAATTATAACTTTTTACTACAAGTAAAAACTGACCGTTGAAGTATAGCCTAATTAATAAAAATAAATCATTAAAATCGTTCTCAATCTGCGAGGATGTCATATGAAATTCCTTAAACAATAGTCCAATATAAAACTTTTTCCCCTATTTCCCACCCTTGAGGCGGAAGTATTTCTTAAAAATCTAATGGGACCACCTTTGAGGTGCAGCCTGTTTAATAAAAAAAAGGATCATTAGAATCGATTCACAGTCTCTAAAGAAATCGCGTAACATACATACAAAAAAGAACATACATTCGAATTAAGAACCTCCTCCGTTTTGAAGTTGGTTTATAATATGCTTTTAAGTTATGAAATTTAGGCGAGAAAAATGAGTTATAAGGTTTCCACAGTGATCAACTTTCTATGGTAGGTAAGTTACACGTATGAAGTTAAAGCTTAAGTTAAAATTATGTAAATTACAAAGTTAATTAAGGCACCGTACGCTTGGCAGTATAAAGCGGTCTTTGTCTCAGAATAAGTTACAGTGAAACTTAAATCTCTGAAACAAATTTAAATAAGAAATATTTTATTCATTTTGTTTCGAACCCTTCAACCTTTCAATCTATTCATTATGTTATATATAAAATTAAATGTTGGTCTAGTATTTGTAAACACGGTTACTGATCATAATGAGGTCTTGGGTATTTATTGTTATTTATTTAATCTAGCATGAAAAAAAAATATTGACTTAATGCCATAGGGTATTCTCTCCCAGTCCACCATTAGGCTAAACAGAGATATACAAACAAGAGGCGGTGCAGTAGTAATAAAAATAGAAAGGGCTAAAAAAATATTGTATATACATATGAATATACATATACACATATACTTACACATATATACTTAAGTACAAAAGATATATACATATATAAATACATACATACACATATACATGCATACACATATACATGCATACACTATATATACACACAATACATATAAATATTATCTATGTCAGAACAAATATGAAATATATATATGTGTGTATGAAAATAAAAGCTGTGTTAGTTCAAATTTGCAACGATTTTTTCGCATGCTTACGGACTTGATTTTTAAAAACAAACTTGTTGGAAGCTTTTATAGTGTCAAGAGGGATGTTGTTCCAGAGTCTGATAGCCGTGAGGGCGAAAGAGTGAGATAAATAACCAGTACGTAGTAAAGGAGTAAGCAACATAAGATTAGCCGAAGAACGGAGACAACGATTGTAAGAATCTCCCAGGTATTGAAATTTGGATTTCAGATACTCGCGAGCACATGAATCGTTCAGAATTGTGAAAAGGGTGCAGAGTATTCTGACATATCTGCGCTGACGGATAGGCAGCCAATTTAGCTGAGCACGAAAAGAAGATACATGGTCGTATTTAGGGAGACCATAAATGTATCTGATACAGTTGTTAAGTAGACGATCCAATGAATTAAGATGATGTTGAGACAGGTCAGAGCAACAGAAATCGACATAATGAATAATCGGTAGGATAAGTGACTGGACAAGTAAAATCTTAGTATTGGTGGGAAGAAAGTTTTTTAATCGATATAGAGATCGCAAAGTTCCAGTAGTTTTGCGACTCAACTCCTGTATATGTTTGTTCTATGTTAAGCAACCATCAACGTACAGAACAAGGTTCTTTACATGGGGAGAGAATGGTATGACATTATTTTTAAACATAATTAATGGTAGGGTGGGTATATCTAGTTTCGATAATAATCGTGGGCTACCTAAGATTATTGTTTGGCATTTAGATGGGTTCACGTTTATACCATACACAGTAGAACATTCGGAGATGTATTTCAAGTCATCATTTAATAATGAGACAGCATTGGCATGCTTCGGAAAGCATATAAAGTCGTAGGTCCTACGCCTGATCTCTCTCCGATCGTGTCCGATTCCCATCGTACTATGAGATTGGGAGAACGGATAGTGCACCTGGGCTTGCACGTGCCCTCGTGCTCTATAATCCTGTCCTGCACAAATGGCTAGTCTCCGTTGAGATTGACCGAAACTAAAACTTGGTTTGGAGGAAGTGATTATTAAAATTGAAGTGTCTATCTGTAATATCGAAATAATTGACTCATATTGAGCTGAGAAGGTTATGTGCATTCCTATAAGACATGCATAACCATATTTAAAAAAATTGTCTGTCTGTCTGTCCGGGCAAACCTTTAGAATGGCTGAACCGATTGTAATGAAACTTCTCGAATAGATATAAAGTAATGTCAGGAGTAATCTAGGCTTTTTTTATCTCAAGACTTGGAGATTGTTTTTAAAAAAAAACAACGAAAAATTGACAAAAATAATGGTGTTGTATTTTTTACCACAGGACCACAGACATCGATAATATACATCATTCCACACTTAGTGGTGAATTTTTTTATAGGATAAGGGTGACAAACGAGCACACAGTCCACCTGGTGGTAAGTGGTTGCTGCGGCACATAGACATCTACATCAATACTCTATTTCAAATCAAAATTCAGATGCGTTGTAAGCCGTGAGAACCAAGATGGAATGCCTCATTTCCAGTAAAAACGGTATCCGGTTCTCTACACTCGCCATACGAAACACAGCAGCGTTAAGCTGCTGCTATTTTACGCTGGTATTCTGTGAGAGCGTGGTCTTTCCCCGGTCGAGCCGACCCATTCGTGCTACAACTATACTACTAATATAGCTGCGGCATGGCTCTAACTCAATACCAATTATGAATCAAAATGCAGATACTTTGTCACTGACGACTAATACTGAAATTTATAGTCAAGGGGACTGTCTCAATAGGGACAATTCAAACGCTATGTGTTGCATTCAATCTTATGCGACAGAAAGAAAGAAGTTTAAAGCTGATTTGATTTTTTAAACTAGTTTATTAGAGACATTGCCTACAATTCTGCGTTTCTTCTGCAATCAATGATGTTATTTTTAATGCCATTTAACTCAGACCAACGAAGATATTAAAACGGACCGCTACTTACATTTCAAGTAATGCAAAAACCGAGCCAAAATCACCTGAGGATGCCTTGTGTAGCGGCGAAACACGTGTCGTATTATCGTCAGTGGTGTGTCTTACCTAGTGTAGTGGTGTTGGGAGTAGCGGTGCTGGGATTAGTGGTGACGGGGATAGTGCACGCAATTGAGGGAGGGCGGGAGGTGCTCTTCATACTAGGTAAGACACATAATTTTATTTTATAACGCGGATATTTGCGAAGTAAATTTTTCTAAAAGCTTTTATAAATTTATTATTGTGAGTTGCCTTCAGAAGGATGCTGCTATTTCCTGTTTCATTTAAGACAATGAGGGCGCCGACCTTTTCTGTTACCAGGGCGTCGCAACTTTGAACGAAGTAACTTATTGTAAAATCACGCACTCACGTACACGTTTGCATTCAAAATCATTACAATAACGAACAAGGTTTTAGGTAGTAATGTTTGCGTGAAGCAGAGAATTGTCACAATGAAAGAAGAAAGATGTGTGTGAGTGCATTTCAAGAAGCTGAGCATAGTTTCAGCATCATTTGAAATGTGTACACATCGTACACGATTTTTTTTGTTGATCTAAGCCGCTAAATGATTGGTTAAAGTATAAAACACATAAGTTTTTATAAAGTTGTTGCACGCTGTTTTTATACGTGGTAGAGCCATGCTGCAGCTATATTCATAGTATAGTTGTAGCACGAATGGGTTGGCCCAACCGGTGGAGAACTACGCTCTCACAGAATACCAGCGTAAAATAGCAGCTTAATGCTGCTTTCTTATGGTCAGTGTAGAGAACTAGAGACCCTTTTTACTGGAAAAGAGGCATTTTATCTTAGTCCTCACGGCTGACAACGGATCTGCATTTTAATTCGCAAAAGAAGATAGATGTAGATGTCTATGGGCCACAGCAAACACTCACCATCAGGTGAACTGTGTGCACGTTTGTCACCCATATTTTATAAAAAAAAACGCTGAATAGGCTTTCTAAAAGAAATTCAGTGCATATAAAATTACTTTATGAAAATAACCAGAGAAATCATCAGTAGTATAATCTTGACCTTACATCTGTTTTTAATTTTTATTAAGGTGTTTCTATCAAAGAACTTTTATATAAAATATGATTACACCAATAACAGAAGATTGAAATTGTATTCTGGTGGATTCTTTAGTGATGTTTATGAAAGACAAAGAAGATAGATTCATTCAACCTCTAGGTAAATGCTGATTGATGGATTTCGGGAGACTGTTCACGTTTTGACTATGAAATTCATTGTAAGATACAAATAGTTAAAAATTGTACATGGAATATAATTATAACATTTGTACAGAAGACCTCTCTTTAGGGTGTGGATGGAAATTAACCTTGATGGATTGGATTAGGCAAGCAGTGGCAGAGAGACTGCACAAAGTGCGAAGGATAATGATTAGAAAAGATTTGTGACCAAAATGATTCAGATTCACTATGTTGGCTTTGTGCCAAAAAAAATCTCAAAATATAAGAATACCAAGTCACAATAATGCCATTATTCTACTGTCGTCGTTTCTTAATACGTCTGCATAGTTTTAAGGTATTCAGGCGTCTGGAAGTAGGTGAAAACATCCTGACGCTTGAATAACCTGAATACTACAAAAAGTGAGTGGAATCGAGGCTTTTCATCTTAGTCCTCATGGGTGACAAAGTATCTGTATTTTGGATTCTTAATCGAGGATAGATGTAGATGTCTATGGGTCACAGCATCTACTTACTATCAGGTGGACCGTGTGCTCGTTTGTCAGCCAACACATGATACATATAGTCGAATTGAAGACCTTTTCCTTTTTTGAATTCCAGCAGTGTGTGTATTTTACACGAAGCCCTACACACTTGTAATTTTGCATTACAAAAATTATTAGACCCACATACTTGTAATTTTGCTTATATAATAAAATATTCTTAAATACCAAGAATCTTACATTTTATGAATAAACCTGTTAAAATTCCTGAGCTATTAAGGTCTGAACGCTGCTTTATTGCTTACTGACTCACTCATCGACTCACGATACCCATGGCATATGGAGCAGTGGATATTCTTACACTGCCTCTACACGGTTAGCAAAATATTACTGGTGTAAGTAATATTCATCAGTACTGTATTGTAGTTTTTTTTTTTATAGGATAAGTGTGACAAACGACTACAAACTATTACAAATCAAAATGCAGATGCGTTGTCACCCGTGAGGACTAAGATGGAATGCCTCATTTCCAGTAAAAAGGGCCTCCGGCCACCTGCACTCACCAAGCGAAACGCAGAAGTAAACCTCTACTTCACGCTGGTATTCTGTGAGGTCGTGGTACCACCCCGGTTCGAGCCGGCCCATCCGTGCGACAGCAAAAGCTGCCGCGTGGCTCTACCACTGTTAAAGTGGCGTAATGAATCCATAACACCATCAGAACCGTTAGTATCGTATAAGAAGAGTGGCATGACTGCCTTGAGTTGTTCGACTGGTTATAAACGCGACTGCCAATCATGAAGTTCTGGGTTCGAATCCCAGCTTAGGCCAAAAATATTAGATATTACTATCGATAATATCTCAGTAACAGCTGTCCTGCGCCTGGTCTAACCGGTCGATAAAGTTATTGGTGCAGCTAATTTCACGACAGAACCAAAACCTTATTCATTGCACTACTGAGCCCACATAGATATCTATTTTAAATTAAATATCCAAATTTATCAGGTTTCAAGTACCAAAGGAGATCTTTGTGACGTTGTAGCTTAGCTTTATTTTTATTATATTAATACAATACAATACAATACACGAGGGTGAAGCCAACTTCATGATTCCACCAGCTATTTAAAACTTACACCCAATCTTCCTTAACCTATTATAATTAGAAAGGGAATAAATCATATCATTGTTTCAGAACACATCTGTACACAAAGTGAAGTAAAGATCGATAAAATATCGCAAACAAAAACAAAACTTTACTTCTCAAATTTAAGTGAATGATATCTCTTCATCAATATTATTATTAGTCCAAGATAAGTTACAAGAGAAATTACAAATTTCACCTCAACTTAAAAAAGCTAAACGTAAGCAAAAAAATGAACACAAAAGTAATCTGTCACAAAAGGAATGTGCGTTTTAGGAGAGGTTACGAACTTCCTTAATAAAATTACAATCAAAAAGCCTTATTAACATCATTATAAAATAACCTTACCTTGTGCTTCCCGTTCTGGACTCATTTTGTCGAATTATTTTTTATAATAATATATATAAATATTACTGCAGCCTTTTGTTTTCAAACGTTCCATAGATTCTATCCCGGCTCCATTGCCTATGTCCCGTCAAAATGTCCGCCGCGCTTGCGTAACAAACATTCTGGGATACGTGGGAATTATTGATCGAATGCCCGGGAATACCTAGCTCAACGAACGAGTCTAGATAGATAACAAACGCTGGCAGTGATATTTTTTTTCTCTTTTTACCTGACCCATTATCAGGTTATATCAGAAAGAATTTGCTTAAAGATAGAAATACTTATTCGTTACCTTTGTTCCTATATTAGATTTACTGAATTAGGATAAACAACAACAAATAACATCATCATTATTTATAATAAACTGTTTTTAAATTGCAACCCGCCTTATTTAACTGACAATTATCGTTTCATATTAGTTTTATTATTTTTATGAAGTCATTCAATTTATTTTTTATTTATAGCTGAGTCTTTATCGTTAGTAAAGTAATATTTATTGCTTTACTAAAGATAAAAACCATCATCTAGTGATTGCCAGATGGAGTGACGACCAGGTAAGAGATGCAGGAAGTCGATGGAAGGCTTAGGATCGTACTTTGTGACATTCCTATGTTCAGTAGTGGACTTGTGAGTGTCAGTCATCCTAACGTCAGAACCAATTACTAAAGGTACTACTCGTAAAATTTGATATTGCTCAATCATTAAGTTTCTCTTATGATCCATAGTTTCTGAAGATCATCATTAATTTCCCGTATATTTATACCGACTTCAAAAAAGAGGAGGTACTCAATTCGACTCTAGGTTTTTTTTAAATGAATGTTACCCCAAAACTTTGTTCCACGTGAACCGATTTCGATGATTCTTTTTCTTATTTGAAAGCTGGTGCTTCTCATGTGGTTCCATATTCCATATATATAACTAGCTGACCAGACAGACGTTGTTCTGCCCTTTCCGACGACCATTTGCTTCCCTAAAAAAACTTCTGAAATTAGCAATAAAAAAAATTGAGTGTCACTTATCGGGATAAAAACTATCCTATCTCTCAATTTGGACCAAACTGCACACAGTGTGCAAAATTTCATTGCAATCAGTTCAGTAGTTTAGGAGTTCATCGCGGACAAACAATGTGACAAGTAATTTTTATATATAAAGATTTGATCAAGGTCTGACTAATAGTTTTTGAGTTATCCATAATATTAAATATTGAAGACTTTTAAGAGGTGACTGGAAAATGCCAGTAAAATGTTTAGGCTTAGTAGGTTTAACCATCTCGTTTACGTCACATATAAAATATCCAGATTACTGACAAAGGTGCGAGACGTAGTGCCGCGGTTTTCAAGCCTGACGATTAAGGCGAATTCCACTTATCTAGATGAATATGAAGACACCCACGTTCATTCCTTACATCTTTGATAAATAATAGTTTTAAACGCGGCAGGTCCAAGCTACAGCTGTATTTTGGTTGTAGCACGAATGGGTCTGAATGAATGGAACGGAATAAACACGCTCCACACGCGCCACAGTATACTGGCGTGAAATTACAGCTTAACGCTGCTTTCTTACGAATAGTGAGTGTAGAGCCTCGTTTCCAGTAAAAAGGGTATTCGGTTATCCGCACTCACCATACGAAACACACCAGCATTAAACTGCTATTTTACGCTGGTATTCTATGAGAGCGTGGTCTTACCCCAGTCTAACCGACCCATTCGTGCTACGACCATAATATTTTTTTTTTATTTATAGACTTTATTGTACTAAGGGTCCAACCGGCGAACTTAATGCCATATGGCATTTTCTACTAGCCAGCCGGAAAGTTAGCGGGAGAAGTGTAGTGCAGTGGGCTAGGATGAAAAAACCTAAAATTAAAAAATAGATTATAAATTTAATATATTTATTTATTTATTGTTATGAATATAATTTTTATAAATATTTATATATTTATATAATGTGTGTGTGTATGTACATTTATGTGAGCCTAAGTAATGTTCTTTTACTTTTGTTTTAAAAAATCACTTTTTGTGGGATTTTTTAAAACAAAATGGATAGCTAAGGGAAGCCCAATTCCAGAGTCGTACCACTGTAACAGCAAAAGAGTTTCAGAGAAAACCAGTCCGGTGAGAGGGAGTTTGCACTACGAGATTGTTATAAGAATAAAGATTGCAGTCATTCGAAGAACCCAGGTATTGAAACAGATATTTCAAATACTTTGCGGCCAAGGAATCGTTAAGGATAGTGAAAAGAGTGCTAAGAATTACAAGATTCCTGTATTGTGGGATATTCAACGAGAGAGACGTGGTCATAGTTTCGACAAGGTTAATTCTAAGTCCTTAACATGAGTGCTATACGGAATTACCTCGCCATTATAAACTCTCCTCCCTCCCTGCACTTTGCGTTCGCTTCTCTTTGTACGCGTTGTTTCATTTAAAAACGTTATAGGTGATCATTACCTGTAATAATGTCGTAAACACGACCTAACACGAAGGTGTTCGTGTAAAATATTATAAACGCTTGCCGATGCAATCTACAATTTGTGCTAAATATTTATTTTTATACGTAATTCGCCTATGTATTCTCTTCACTTTAAATTTTAAATTAAATTCTGCAATACTAGCATACTTACTTCATCTCTCAAATTTTATCAATCTTGTTGAAATTTATTATATTTGCGATACAAGGTTGCCTTAGAAGGGTCTTTATCCATAAATGCCATTTGAAGTCTATCAAAAGATTCAGGCAAATGAAACGACTAGGCGATATTTGGAATAGTAAAAAATTATCGCGCAAACATTTTCTCGATGCAGACCTATTTTTCAATTCACGATATTTCAATTTAGCCTGTAAAAATGTGGAGGGATTTGTAAATCAAACATTCTTAGTTTTACTTGTATGTTATCATTTTTTTTCTTAATTATAAATAGCCAGTGTGTGTATCAAAAAACTTGTTTTACTTAGTTTCGCAAAACTTTCTGCGTGGCCTGTCGAAATAACATGTTTTTTTTTATAATTAATGAAAATTCTTATAACCTCCCGTTTTGATTCCGTACAACAATTTTGTGCGTTAAATTTTAAATGACAAGGCGTCGAATTACGTGCTACAATGGAGCTGAGATTTAAAAATATTGTTTATTTAAAGATATATTCACAACGTCGGTAGGATGTGAATATATCTTTTAAGACAGCATATATATTGTCTTTAATATATCATTAAACATATAATATATATGCTGTAAAGCAAGTGTCAATTCTAGAACAACTATAAGAATGATGTATAGAATGTTAAAACCATTTTTTATAAGATCAGGAGTAGCTTGGCGGAAATCGATTATATTATAGACGAATAATTTAATTTGTATGAGGAAAACTTCCCCTCATCCCATACTACATATACCTATACTATCACTACCGTCGTTGAAAGCAACTGTTGATAATCTGTAACTTCCTATTATCTCATGGGTGACATAAAAGTTGACTATGAGAACAGCCAAAAAGATATCGCGGTCTCGGATAGATGCCACTATCTTGTTACTACTATCTACTATGGGATATATTATCTTTCGACATACCACGCATTAGAACCAAACAGTTTGCTTCGTCGTTGGTTAGGCGTATAGAAAAGCAGTGAAATAGTGTCAGTGCCAGCATTTGTCTTTCCGTTCGATTATAATTTGGGATAGCCAAGTTAAGGACTTATGTATTTTTATAGAATAAGGATGATAAACGAGCACACGGTCCACTTGATGGTAAGTGGGTGCTGTAGACATCTTCATGTATCCTCAATTAAGAATCAAAATGCAGATGCGTTGTCACCCCTGAGGACTACAATGGAATGCCTCGTGTCCAGTAAAAAGGGTATCCGATCCTGTTTTGTTTGCATTTTTTTTTTGCTTTATAATTACTGCAACCTTCAACAAGTCGACTGTTGAACTGGGGCCTCCCAAAAGGAATGGCACGAAGGACGGTCCTGAGCCACCCGCATCCATTGACTTCCTGCATCTCTTACCAGGTCACTACTACATCTAGTTTACTCCACTTATTTTGATTTATCAACCCGTAATGGTCCACAGTTGAACATAGGCCCCTCCCCTTGTCGATAGGTTCGCTTCTTTCTTCACTCTATGTTCTAATCGTTCTTCGTCGATTCTTCACCAGTTCATTCTTCACTTTAATTTTATTCATAGATAACTAATATTACTGGAGAACTTCACAGTACTTGGTTCTGGCGACTTCGAATGTGAGGCATAGAGATTAGAATTCATGTACATAGATGATGAGGATTGACGTAATGGTAAATGAAGTTTTTTATAATTCTAAAAAAGAGGTTACTAGCAGTGACGTAAACACAACTAACACAGGAATGTTGTAGAGAATAATAAGATAAGAAATATGTTATAAGCATTTGATTTTATGCGTAAAATAGCGATATAAGAACTAATTTGTAAAAGAAAATTAATTTTGGGCTGTATAAATATATAAATGTAAACAATAATTATACGTGGTAGAGCCATGCTGCAGCTATATTAGTAGTATAGTTGTAGCACGAATGGGTCGGCTCGACCGGGGAAGGAGACAACGCTCTCACAGAAAACCAGCGTAAAATAACTGCTTAACGCTGCTGTGTTTCGTATGGTGAGTGTACAGAACCGGAGACCCTTTTTACTGGCAAAGAGGCATTCCATCTTAGTCCTTACGGGTGACAACGCATCTGCATATGATTCGCAAACGAGGATATATGTAGATGTCTATGGGCCACAGTAACCACTTACCATCAGGTGGACTGTGTGCTCGTTTGTGTCACCATTATACTATAAAAAAAATTCAACGTTGAGTCGTTGGGTTTAGGCGCGCGTAAGCCGTTGAACGACCCCGAAGAGCGAGCGTTGAGTAAGTAAAACTGTACGTCGCTTACTTGACAACAGATACGAATCTGGTTTGTTATGGCGAACGGATGACGAACGCATGCCGCCGAATAAAAGCAGACTGAAACTC